GGACAGATCAAGCAAAGTTCAGCATGAACTCACATACATGCGCATACATGAATAAACAGTGGAGTTACGCAACACTTACACTGATTTAAAAACCCTGCCGCTCCCACAATCACTAAAGAATGACTATAAACACATTCATCTCCAAACACCGGATTATTTTGACTGGTTGTAATACCTGTAGAATCCAGTCCGGAAGCCATACTTTCTCAAAATCTGTTCTGTAAAGGCACACGTTGAACCCTAAAAATATAAAGCAATATTTTCTGCATTTCGTTCAACTTTTATAACTTGATTCAGTGTTTAATTGCTCAGTGAACAGGTTTACCTTTCCTTTTGTTCCAGTCACGTGAATAATATTAAGACGATCAAGTTCTTCTACCTGAGGACAGACAGGACACATCAGCGCATTTTGAATGGTTATTTACAAAACATATTGCAATTAAAATATGGTTGTGAACATGTTTTAACACTGTTGACGAGGGAGAACTTGTTTTCCCAATGCGAAGAAGACTTTAGTTGTTTTTGGTTGCAAATGTGCGGTCACAGTTAAGCATATGTTGAGTATTTACAATGACTTTAAATGCATTTTAAAAGCTTTGCCTATGTAATTGCTATACAGTTTTAATCATTTGTAATTTGTAATATTTTGAGTCTTTTGTTTTTAATTTATTTGTTAAATAATGTAAAGTGGTTAGGCTCACCGTTCATTTGCTAAGATTAATTTCTTTTGTTTTGTGTCTGCCGAAGTGCAAAAAAAAAGGGGAAATAATTAAACAAAATTAAGTACTTTTCATTTATAATGTATTTAATTCTCTGGATTATTCAAAATTTAGGCATTACCACAATATTATTTAATATACAAAAATATACAATGTAGTTATAGAAATTTGATGTAGCTCAGTTTGAATAGTTAATTACAAAAACATTTAAATACAGTAATTTAAATACATATTGGAACGTTTCAACAAATCAAAATGAGAAAACTCATTCTCACTTATTATATAGAACTCACTTATGCTTTGTTTTACGCCTGTCAAGTTAAAATTTAATAATTGAATGACACTGAAATTCAAAAATGTAAATTACTTTTACACAATAGTGACTTAACTCATTAAAACATTTTTTTTTTCAATACAGAAATTGTGTATTATCCACTCACTAAGCTGTCAAACTAATCTCTTAATTGGCCC